AAGGGGGCAAGAGAAAAAGCAAGGAGGGCAAAGAGGAGGCCATTGCTGGAGTCTAGGGGAAGTTGATTAGTGGCTCTATCAGATGGTACTGGCAGAGGTTGTAGGACGAGGCTGGATTCAGGAGACTGTCTATAGGAAGAGCTGCAGGGTTTGCTGGTGAGAACAGTATGAGAGACAGAGGTCAAGGATGTCCCTAAGTTTCTGTCCTTCAGTCCTTAAACGAATGATGCTGCCACAGATTTGAGGAATGATTAGGTTTAAGGGGTAAACCAAGAGTTTAATTTCTGACATGTTGAGTTGCAGATACCCATTAGATATTCACTTGGAGTTATTAGCAAACTGTTGCTTGGTGTTCGGTGGGGGAGTCGTAGAAATCATCTGAAGTAATCCCTTACGGACAGAAAAATCTCAGTTCTCCCTAGTTATTAACATTTATTCATTCAAGTAAATATTTCTTGAGTACCTACTGTGTGTCCCACACTGTACCGTGTGCTGGGGAGTACAGCACAGATTTGGTCAGAAACAGTCACTATCTTTGTTACAACTTAATTAGTTCACTGGCTTCTGAGACACTTCTCTGAATATTTTGTAAATACATGGAATCAACTCTCAAGAGTTATAAATACTGAGATGCTCTCTGACTCAGCAATTTGGAAGAGCTTAGATTTTCCGAAAGAAAGGAGCTATAAATAGATTTGGACAAATGACAGATTTACTCATAAAATATGCAAAGACCGCCTTAAAATGAATCAGAAGAGACTGTCTCAACCAAATTAATGTTTACGAACAGTCAACTTGGTGTAATGGAAAAGCTTACAGGGCTAGAAGGCAGAACTCTGGGCCTGTGTGTTCCGCTTCGACTAGGTCACATGTATGACCTTGACTGAGTCCTTGACTCATCTTGCGTCAGTTTTCTCTTCAACAAATTGAATCTGAGAGTCAGTGTTTTCTAAAGAGGCTCCAAACTATTGAGTTCTTTCTTTGCATTATTTCTTTTACTGGATTCTCATTCCTCTTTCCAACATTTATTAAAAAAACAAAACCCCAAACTCCAAGGTGATTCTTCTCTTCTATGAGGGCTCATTTTTCAAAGCAAAATAAAGCTTTTTTTTTTTTTCCTTTTTGCAACTGGAAAATTTTTTTCTGATTGTAAAAATGATTCATGATCAGAAAAGCACAGAGTAAAAAGTCTCTACAATGATACCAGTGAGGTAACTATGTCTGTTTTCACCATGGTTGTATCTGCTACGTATCATATGGCAGGTGCTGAATAAATATTTGTTGAATGAATGACCACTGCTGATATCTTGTGAATTTTAGTCAAAAAAAGAAAAAAAGGAGAAAAAGAAAATCCTTTCTCTGGGGGTTGTTTAGCCACTAAAGCAGAAGGGGTCAGTTACAGTCACCAGGGACTGAAATGGCTGGGAGCCTACCGGATCTCAAATTACTGGTTTCACAACAGCTGAGGTCTGAAATCTATGGAATGTGGGGAAACAATAACACCAAATATACCATTCTGATGGCTGTAAACAGTATCAAGGGTGGCTCAGTTGGAGCAATAACAAGAAAGGCTACAAAACAGTCCAAGGGTTGACCAGGAGTGGCTCTTGCAGCTGATGGGAGGCAGGCTCTGCCCTACAGATCCTTCCTCCCACGCTTGGGCCCTCTTCCTTCCCTACAGCACCAGGATGTTTTCTTGGGGCACCCGAGCTGACCTCAACACTTTATTGAAAACCTAGCATCTTTTTCATTGTTAACTCCCCTCTTAGTCAACCAAGGTCATTTTCTGATTACCTCTGGAAGTGAATTAAAGCCAGAACCTGTCTGCAGACACATGCTGCATCTTTTTCTCCCAAATGAAAGGAGGAGCTAATGTTGAAAAACTGGGACATCTGACATGTGGATCTGAATTTTCAGATCTCTTGAAAAATCACTGGTTTTGGCCCCACTGGGCCCTAATCCCATGGAGCAATCATCTAGAGCTGAGGGGCAGCCTCCTGCTCTGGACGGGGTGTTGCTCAGCTCCCTGTCATCCCCCTGACCCCACTGTGTTAGTTACATCCTGCCTCCTGTGCTCATTTTCCCAACTTGCTACCTCTAATTATGCAAAAGCACTCGAGCGGCATCTATTAAGTACCAGGCACTATGCAAGTCCCTTGGAACATGACTGAATATAACACAGCTCCTATCTTGAAGGAGCTTACAAACCAACTTAGAAACTGGTTAATTACAGTGCGGTTAAGTCCAGCACAGAAAGCAGGAACATGGCATAGCACAGGGACTCTGACCTGAGAGGCTGCTTGGAGACCTTCCTTGAAGGTCATGTTTGAGCTTGGTTTTGAAAGATGAATGAGTTACTCAGGCAGGTGGGTTGTTGGGAAATACTGCCAACAGCGGGGCTGTTTCTGAAAGCACAAATAAGGTCTTCTGTTGATCAGCCGCCTGTTGCGCAGGTGATCCTCTCAAGCCAGCAACTACCTTTTCCCTGGTTGATGCAGGTCTGTCTACAGTCTGTCTATAGCCCTCTGCCCAGATGTCCCCTGGTAATCAGAAAATCACCTTGGGTTTACTAAGATGGGAGTTAACAATCAAAAGGATGCTAGGTTTTCAATAAAGTGTTGAGGTCAGCTCAGGTGCCCCAAGAAAACTTATCCTGGTGCTGTAGGAAGAAAGAGGGCCCAAGGGTGGGAGGAAGGCTTTGTGGGGCAGAGCCTACCCCTTCCTTCTCTTTTGTCAAAATGCCAGAGAAGGTTCACCTCTACCAGGAAGAGCCTACCTGACTAATCCCCGGTCACCTCCAGTTATTTCAACTAAGGCAACACTCCCATTCCGGGGAAACTGGTCACCTGAGGGTAATTCTGTTATTTGAAAGTTGTTTTGTTTTGGAACCTCCTGATAGTTCAAGAGTAGACTGGCATTCCATGCAATTAATAAGTATTTATCAAATATCTATATTGTACAGAGAACTGTCATATACATCATCTTTGACCCCAACAACCCAGTTGAGAATGAAGACAAAGACAAATCAACTAAAAACAGAAGATAAAATTCAGAAAACATTTATTAAGTGCTTGGTATTCACAATTTTGTTAATCCCTCCATCCATCCAACATTCAGTGAGCATTACCAGGGCCCGGCACTGTGCTTAGCACCTGGAAATCGAGCCGCTTAAATATACAAGCTTGCTGGTGACATGGATAAATAAACCCATTTATAATAAGTTACCTGCCAGAGCAATGTTCAAAGTACAGCAACAATTTGGAGAAAGAAGTTTTGACTGCTTCCAGGGATACTGGGCAGGTATCACGGAGAAGATAAGTTTGAGCTGCTTATCTCGTTTTTTTTTTTTTTTTTTTTACTTTTATTGTGACATTTTACAACATACACAAAATACAGAGACTAATACAATGAAACTCCGTGTACCCACAACCCGCTTTAACAATTAGTAACTCATAGACACTTTTGATTCATCTATATCCTCACCCGTTTCCCTCCATCCCTTCATTTTGTTTTGAAGCCAATCTGAGACATCCTTATCATTTCATCCATAAATGCTGAGCTGAGTTTGAAGAAGGAACTAGAAATGTCTAGACCTTCCACTATTAACTTCCTTTTCCCCATCTATTCTGCCAGTGACTCTGCCAGAGTTACATACTCTGATTCCTGCGGTGACTCCAAAGCCTGAGCTGGTTCAGGGTAAAGACTCAAGGCTGTACTGGACCCTTTCAGCTGGTTGAAGAAAAAGATTGAACTGATCCAGTGAAAACCCCCTCCTGCCTTATCTGAAATGCTGACCATTCTTCAGGTCCTTGGCCCTAATCGCTAATTCTCCAGAAAAATTGCTAATTCTTTAGAAGCTTCTTGAGGGTTGTACAAATGAACTAATGTTTGCACAATCAGGTTGTACAAACAACCTAGTGTTTGAACAAAATGGTGGCTACATTCCACGTTCCCATGTGCCCTTTAACCTCCAGGGAAACCTCAGACCAAAGGGGCTTGCCCTGACTGAGCTCACCCAAAGTTGCTTCCTGTCACAACTCTGATCTTCACCGGGTTGGGACTCTAGTCACATCTTAACATCTGGTTCTCTACACACACATCCAACTCCTCTGGCATTTCCTATCTGTCCGAAAAGTCCCAACATCCAAGCAGTTACTCAACCAGAACACTGTCCTGACCCCCTCTCCCTCGCAATTCTGTCTATTCCTTTAAAGCCGCCCATTATTATCCACGTCCATCGCCATCCTTCGGTTTAGGTCCCGGGGCCCTTCCTTCAAGTACTGCAATATTTAAGCATCTTTCTGCCTTTAGCACCACCCTCCGCATTCTCCACGCAGCTGGGTGATCTTTACAAAACACCCTGTTCAAAACCCTCTCATAGGTCCTAACCCCTGCAGGATCAAGACCAGCCTCTTTACCACAGACAAGGAGGCTCTGCAAAATATAAGGCCTGTCAGTACTTGTCTAGCTTCATCTGCTACATCTCCTTGGCCGGCAACCAGATGCTCTGAGGGCCTGCCTTCTCGGCTCTCTGTCCTCTTACCCGGGAAGCGCCTTTTCTCTCATCAATAAGAGAAGCTACACCCACTGCGCCCTTGCTTACACGCGTGAGCTCACAAGAGTCCACAACAACACGAAGAAGTCAGCACCTTCATTTTGCATACGGAGGAATTGAGGATGGGCACCTTACCCATGGCCACACAGCTACTGAGTGGAAGAGCCAAGGCTCGGATTCAGACTCGCGGCGCCAGAGGCCCCGGGCGAACCACAGAGTCCCAGGTGCCTGCGCACCTTCCACCACTGCAGCAACGGTTCCTGGCGGCGGACAGACGCACCGCGACCAGCTGATCCAGCAGAGGAACGAGGCTTCTGATTGGCCGCCTCCGGCGATCACTGGCGAGGGGGAGGGCCCGAGGGCGCGGGGGCGTCGCGGAGAAATGACGCAACGCCGCGGCTCCTTAAAGGCGCAAGCCCCTTGCGCCGCCGATGGCGCAGGCGCGTTCCGGGGGCTCCCGCTTCTCCGAGCGCAGAGTCGGGCTGGACGGGCGCGCGCGCGCGCTGTGCAGACTGGGCGCGCGCCGGACGCGGGCAGCTCGAGGGGTCTGGCGGGGCGGCTGGGGCAGCTGGACCAGAGGGCTGACGAGCCGGCGCCGAGATGGCCGAAGGCAGCGCTGTGTCTGACCCACAGCATGCCGCGCGTCTGCTGCGAGCGCTCAGCTCTTTCCGCGAGGAGTCCCGCTTTTGCGACGCGCACCTGGTCCTCGACGGGGAGGAGATCCCGGTGCAGAAGAACATCCTGGCGGCGGCCAGCCCCTACATCAGGTGAGGAGGGGGCCGCGGCGGGCCGGGCGGGGCCGCGCTGACGGGCGCCCGGGGGCGGGCCGGGCCGGGCGTGTCCCGGGAGTCCCTGGTCCCCCTCCCCCAGCCGACCCACTCCTCCCTGGTCACCGCTCAGCGCGGGGTCCCTCTGGACGCCCTGCCGGGCTCCCGGGACAGCCCCTTAGCTTCGGTTACCCTCGGGCCAGGCCCGTGCCCCCCGGGGGAACCTCGGCCCTCTGGAATCGACCCCGGAGCCCGGCCGCAGCCCTCCCGTCCTCCCAGCTCCGGTGCCCACCGCCCGGCGTTCGCCCGGGCCTGCGAGCCGCCGAGGCCCCCGGACGCCGTCCCGAGGCGGCCCGGGACCCGCACCCGCGAGCAGGGCGGGGCCTCGCCCGGGCCCGGCCCGCGGAGCCCGGCTGAAGTTTGCCGGCCGCTCGCGTCCAAATCGCGCAGTGGGCCGGGCCCGCGCGGCGACCTGAGCCGGGCGCGCCCCTCCCGCGGAGACGCCAAACAAACACTTCCTCGCCAGCCGTGGGCAGAAGGAAAAGCTCGTGGGATCTTCTCCCTGGGATCAGCGATCCGACCCCAAGGCCGAAGTTCCTGTCCGACGTGTCTTTTTTCACTCCCGGTGGGAGCTCCATTTAAAAGCAAGGCTGCGCCTTATAGACACGTTAAAGTAAGCTGTAGCTAATTTTAGAGCACTTACTGTAATTCTCAGGATGCGGTTACAAGCGAGGATCATGAGATTTTAGAGACTCGGAGGGCATTTTAAAACAACTAAAACAAAGCTTAACCTGATATCCTAAGTCAACTAACCAGGTTAATTAAGGTTGATTAGATGGTGCTTAACCAAGTGTATCAGATCTTGCAAGGGGCTGTATTTTCTTATAGCAACTTTCTGCAAACTGGGTTGCTCTTTTTTTTTTTATTTTTTTTTTATTTTTTAAAGATTTTATTTATTTATTCATGAGAGACAGAGAGCGAGACAGAGGCAGAGGGAGAAGCAGGCTCCCCATGGAGCAGGGAGCCCGATGCGGGACTCGATCCCAGGATCCTGGGATCATGACCTGAGCCGAAGGCAGACGCTTATGGGTTGCTCTTTCAATAAAAGAAAACAAATACTAAAAGCTGGAGAAACTGTCCAGTAAGCGGGTTAAATATAGACTAATAGAGAATGTCGTTAGAATTGACAGGTCAGAAAAAGCAAAATGATGTGCATCGTATTCTTAGTGCTTTGTCCTAGCACAACCCAAACTCCATTTTAACCTTTGCGTTAGGAGATATCTATGCCAACTCAGAAGCAGTTCAGGTGCTCTTGTAACTTGTCCTGGCTGCGCTCTGTAAATCTACTTGGACTCTTTGTGGATTTAAAGGTGGGGTGCAGGGGCGCCTGGGTGGCTCAGACGTTAAGCGTCTGCCTTCGGCTCAGGTCATGGTCCTAGGGTCCTGGGATCGAGCCCCGCGTCGGGCTCCCTGCTCGGCGGGAAGCCTGCTTCTCCCTTTCCCACTCCCATGCTTGTGTTCCTTCTCTCGCCGTGTCTCTCTCTGTCAAATAAATAAATAAAATCTTTAAAAAAATAAATAAAGGTGGGGTGCAGAGAGTCTTTGTTAATATGGAATTTGGATTGCCGGTGTGACAGACAGATCCTAGCTGGCAGTTCCAAGATTTGAGCAATCAATATCAAATTGGAATCGGCGGATCAGAGTCTTCCCTGTATCCGAAGTATTCCCTGTTTGGGGAAATACTTAGGACAACTACTTTAGATGCATTATTGTTGCAGTTCTGTAAGTGGCATCCAGCAGGCTTAAAAGAAAATTACAAATCGCCAAACACATGCTCTCTATCCCCTTTCTATGCTTCAATTTTCTCCATACCACTTACCACTATAATATACCCTCTATTTCACTCATTTACTTTGCCCGGTTTCCCTAACCACAGTGTAAGCTCTGTGAGGTCAGGGATTTTTCCTTTGTCCATTACTGTATCCCTGGCAGCCAGAAAGGACAGTGCCTAGTGGTTCAGCATATGTGTTGAATGAGTGACTGCCTGCCTTTCTTCCCCAGCAGGTTGGACATTAGATGATTGGCTCTGTTATATTTCATTTCAGATGCTCAGTTATCCCTGATTGAGAAGAGCACTGGGCCTGCTTTCTCCTTCCAGCTTTTACTGTTATAGCTGTGAGCTGTTGGCAGATGACTTACTCTTGACTTCAGCTCACTAGTCTGATAAACGAGAGAGAAAATGTGTCTTTGTCTCATTTAATCTTTGACCTGTGCAGGAATGTGAATAGTGCTTTGAACTCTTCCAGGTCGGCACACAAGTCTACAAAGGTAGTGGTATTTACTGCTATATCTGCTGCATTTAGGAGAGGTGTGGTATCCACTTGTGACGTGGTGGCAAATAATGATAATATTTCGTAGGGTCAAATGTTACTTATTTATAATAGCAGTAATTTAGGTGTTATTAATTTAGGTGTTATTAATCAAGGTGGCCAAGCTGAAAGGGACTTCAGATCTTTTCTGGTCTAACTCTGTTACTCTTCAAATAAGGAGATGGGACTCAGTGGGCCTTAGTGATTTTATTATGATGAAGTTACTAGTACTTAGTGGTTGAACTAAGATTAGACTCCAAGTTAATGACACTTCATCTCCTACTCTAACTATACCAAGTTACAACATTAACTCGTAACTATTCTTTGTGTAAGCTCTACTGCTTATTGATTCACAATATGTTATAATTTAAATGCTTATCAAGTACTTTTACATACTATCTCATTTCGATTTTCACTTCCATCTTGTTTAGTAGGTAGGACAGATGTTTTTGACATTTTATAGATAAATATGAATCAGACCATGTGTTTTTGTCAGTGACATTATTTTAAGTTTATTTGACTGTTAAAGTGCTAGAATGTTCTTGGTTGTCTTTTAAAATGGTCAATCTCAAGACTATTTCAAAGCAATTTGACCAATCTGTATTACTACTTTGAAATAAACTGTTTAGTTAACTTTTGACACCTATGATTTTGGGCTTTTATAATGTGTCTGTTTTGTTTGAAAGGAACTTTAAAGAATTATGTTGAAACAAAATGAATTTGCATGTTCTAGCACTTGATGTTTCTTACTTTCTCTTTTGAAGCTTAAGCATTTGGATCTGTGATGTCATTAATACATGGATTGAGTGTTCAAAAGTCTGGTAGTCTCTGACATTTTATAAAAATTTTAGTTTTATTTATTATCTTTGGTTATCCTAGTTTAACTATCCTAAGCAATGTAAAGTTGTGTGGTTTAGAAACAATGTTATATATTGCTTTTGAATTGGTTCCCAACAGAGGGAACCAATTCAGCTTTGTCAGAGTAGGAATTAAAGCAACTCATTTGGCATACTTTCTACTATTTTAATATAGAAAAGTCTTTTAACCTAACGTATTGGTTTAATCATTTCCTGTGCTTTATCTCTGGTTTAGCATTTATTTTTCCTCCCGCTACTCTTAGCTATCATACACTAGGAAGACTTTCAGTATAAAAGGAAAAAAACAAAACTCGGCTTTAGTAGTAGAACCCTAATGATAACCTGAGAAGAGGTTGTATAGAGTATGTGTCAAGCAGCGTTAGGATACAGATGCTACTGGAAGGCAGGCAGGACCTTCCACAGTCCATCATTAAGCCCAGTAAGTGGGATTCTGCTTTCCCATTATGCCTTCTTTGCAGCTCCCTGAAGGACGTTTTTTCCTTCAGTTTGTTGGGAAAACTAAATCTAAATGTGGCTGATGTCCCGCCTGGGTGGCTCAGTCGGTTAAGCAGCTGCCTTCGGCCGGGTCATGATCCCGGGGTCCTGGGATCGAGTCCCACACCGAGCTCCTTGCTCAGCAGGGAGCCTGCTTCTCCCTCTCTCTCCCTCTGCTTATGCTCTCTCTGTCAAATAAATAAAATCTTTAAAAAAAAAATGTGGCTGACGACCTTTAAGGCAAAATTGAATTCGTTGGTATAACGACCCACAGAATCTTTCCTTTCTCAGCAACCCTGAGACCTTCTGGGAAAGGTTCCCTGAGGCTTATAGGAAATTTCCCTTTCTCTTGAATATTGCAGAGTTTGCTCTGCTTCATGTCTGAGGCTCTTCTGATTCTGGCACAATCGCATTGATCTGATAGAGAGTTCAGACTCTTTTCTCTTATGAGCTGTGTTTCTTTGGGAGTAATGTAGTTGAAAAGGATTTGAAAACGAACCACTGTATGATTCTTCAGGGACAGGTGTAAGTTCCTGTCTTCTATTCACTTTTTTTTGGTGATGGGGGGTGCTATTTATTTATGACAGATATTCTACATCCGTGATCCTCTCCAGTCAGAATTTCTTTAAAATGTTGCCATTGGCCTTGGCCAGTCAGAGGATAGAGTCCTCTGACTCACCCACCCTGCAAATGGCCCCACAGATAGCATAGGTTTTAAACTGGCTGTTGAGCCTGCCATTCACCTTGTCAGCCTCAGCCAAGTTCACGTAGTTCTTGGCACCGATGATGCAGAGGAGTATCTCCACAGCACGTGCAGGTGCACAAACTTGCCTGTGCCCTTCTGCACGTCGAGGGCATGTCTGCTGCCACCACCATGATCATGGGCCCAGAAGAGCCTCTGTTCACTCTTGAGAATTTCGTTTTTTGGAGGGTAGCTGTTGGAACGTTAATTTGTTTAGCTTTTCGTCCTGGAGAGTAAAGGGAAGAAAGATCCTCAAGATTTTTAGAACCCTTGAGTCAGCCAACGGTAAGAATGGCAGTTTCTCCCCCTTGTTTTTCAGGGAAAGCAGGTCCTGTGAGGGTGGAGTGGAGACATTGGGCCCAGAAGCCAGTCTAGAGCATCTTGTACTGCTTTTCTGGGACTCGGTTTCCTCATTTGCGAAGTGAGGTTGGCCTGGCCACATGAATGGCAAATCCCCTTTAAGTGTGAATTGTGTGGCTCCGTGCTATTTTTGTTTTACTTTGTGTATATGTTGTGGAGAGGGGGTCTGTTTCTGTTCTTACAGCTTTATTGTATCCTTTAAAGTTTTGTTGCGCATTGACATTAAAGCGTTTCCTTTGCCCTCTCATACAGGATTTGGTTGGGTATTCTGCTATATAAACCCAGCCCCATAGAGCTGTTTTGTAACAAGCATTTATTTTATGCTGTTACTCTGGATGTATTCCAAGGCCTAATTATCGATGAGCCTGTTTTGCCATTTAAATCTAAACTTTGACTCATAGATGATGCTGATGAACTACTTAAGGAGGCTAATATGATCTCTGTAGGAAGTCCAAGTTTCAGAGCAGCATGGAAATTGTCATCATCCTTTGGGCACCTGAAACCTGTCCTGTTAGTACTTGATAGGCACTAATGTACATTAGTTTTGTCTCCTGTGTGCAGAGCATGCTGTTGGTACTCAAGTCCCTTTTCTTTCACTTGTGCTTTGAGTTTGTGGTCCCCTGCATACGTCTGCTCCTGTCACGGGATTTTGAATGATGACTGTAGCCTGGTAAGTTCCTTAGTGCCCAAGGGTTCAGCTAGAAGCTCCCGGTTCTGAGACTCTTGCTGAGTCTTGAACATTCTTAAAATTCAAATGATGAGACCTGCCCCTTGCTGTTCCTTCATGGTGCTGGGAAATAAGTTGGGCCTGAATATCTTTCGGTGGATCTGGGACTTGTTTTCATCCAGC